TTCTTCATTATCATCATATGCAATGATGTTATTTAAACATGTTTTAAATGACAAAATCATGTCAAAACATCAAGATTATGTGTAATAAGAAGTAGCATGTCAAGACAATACATGCCAAGATATGTCTCTCCCTGTCATAAACCCATTTTATTTATAGTTTTAACAGTTTCCCTTTTGCATTGTGACCGTTCTCTGTCACCCACAACCGCTAAAATTTGAACACCAATTCACAGAATCAGTTAAACGTATTGCCTGTATAAAAACTACCCACTTGTTTTCCTCTCCTGTGGGGTGTGGGTCCTGGTCAGGTCCAAAACCTCACTGCTACCGTTTACCTCTCTCAGCCCTGATAGCCAGGCAGTTATCCTTGGTTACGTAACAGCCACCGCACAACGGAATCAGTTGCTAAGTCATTCCTTCCTGCAAGAAAAACAATACATCTACCAGTCATGATTATAGGCAGATAAGGGCTAAGACCAAGCAGTTACAGCAACTGACCACAAATGCTGTAGGGCAACCACTGAGCATCACAGTTATGTAACCGTGCCCACACTGTAATTCTCATGAAACATTCATTGTGGTCATAAAAGTAATAAATAATTAGTGGAGAAAACACAACATTTAACTGGCAACATTTGCTGCGGCTTTGCATTAAAGTATGCCTATGGTATAGCAGCTTGGAGATGCATCAGTGGGCTGCTTTACTAAGACAAAAAAGGTCCTAGGAGTCAGACACCATAAAGAAGCTGAGACGTACCCATTGAGGGTCAAAAGCAAATGTGAGACATTTGTGTGATGCTTACTATAACAGCCATTGCACCCCCTCCTGTGTGATGGCTCTGCCATTGTGACCTGATTGTCTAATCATTAACAAGGCCCTTTCCCTCCATCCACCACTATAGATCCATGCACAGGAATCTGTGACAGAGGCCTGCTGGTATGGCTCACATAGAGCAGGGCCAATCAGAGGGAGAAGGCCCAGGCCGGCATCTGCATAATCCCATTGTTGCCCCAGTGAGCACCATCGCTCAAGCATAATTGGTGGAACCATACCAGGGCTCCAGGAGGATATTGATTGTGCCTTGATAATTGTCTCTTTTCTCTGTCTCTTTCTGGGAGGCTATGGCTGTGGAGGCCCTTCCATCTTTCCCTCCACCTCCACAGCCTCACAAAAACTACACAAGATTAAATAAACCGTGTCAGGAGAGTGGTAGAGTGCACAATGTCTATTAGACAGATACCAGCATGAGATATAGATATAAAATAGCATTTAAAATGAGCCTCTTTTACTATATATTCCATATTAGTCATTTAGCAGACGCTCTTATCCAGAGCGACTTACAGTTAGTGAGTGCATACATTTTCATACTGGCCCCCCGTGGGAAACGAACCCACAACACTGGCATTGCAAGCGCCATGCTCTACCAACTGAGCTACACGGGGCCTGAATCAGACACAGTCCCTAAAACAGCAATATACTGTCACCCGGCAGTATAGTGAGTTTTTTGTCACTGTTGTCACTAAAGACAATTGACACAGTCTCTTGTCATTGTGTAGATAGACTTTAATCTGGTTTACTGACACTGTGACTCGACAAACAGCAACCCTGGTTTCAGTTGCTTGTCTTTGCATGCCCTAATTAAACAACCCTTCTCCTTATCTACTTCAAAACAACAAGTGTCATCATGGGATAGCAGACTGTTTGCTGGGCCCTATCTCCGTTCTTACAGAATGGTAAGAAGTGTTGACTCTACTGTTGACGATAAGACATCATAGTGGTTTAAAGGGACAGTGCTTTCTGTTGACTGAAAGGTTCTACGTAAATGTTTACAGAGTGTTTTAGATGTTTTTACCCAGGCACTACGTATAATGATGTAGGTTTTAGGGTTGTTTTCGGTCCGCATCATCAAACGTCAGGTAGGGAGGGAGAGAGTCAGAACGAGGCCTACGTTCATGCATTGACAGATCAGGAGACATACAGATATAGGATCTTAATTTGAGCCAGTTTTCTAGAGCAGGAAAATTATCCTGCAGCAACAGGAAATGTGTATTATTATGTGGATTTTAATTCATGGTTATTTTTGTAGGGTTTGATAAATTATTCGTAAGGAAACATCAAGTCTGAAATTTCAAAGTGGCCTTTTAAACCTCAAAGACACTACTAGTTGGAAATAGGATTTCTGCATTGCAGGAAAGTTCTCCTGCAACAGGGTGATCAAATTAAGGTCCTACGTCTGTAGTGAACTAAACACCAAATGAATTAAGTTTCAGTTCAAAGTGTTGGGGTTTGTCAGCTTTTCCCATCCTTTGTAAGCATTTGCCCTTCTTGGATTTGCCTTCACTATCTTTCAAATGTTTGAGTATGCTCTCCCACCCACTGGGAACATAATAAACTGTCTAGTTGGACTTTTCTCCAAGGTCTCTGGTTGAATGTGTTCTGTTCTGTGAATAAGGTTGAGAAAATAGGACATAAGCCTATAGCCCGTAGTCAGTCAGCAGGGTTTGGATAGTTAAGGAGCATATTACATTTCATATAACCACTGTTATCTGCCAGACAGGTGAATGTGTGTGTCATCTGCCCTCTACTTTCCTGTAAAATTCAAAACAATACTCCCATCACTTTATCTCCAAAAATCCCAACAGTTCAACTGCTTTCTCTCCCTCACCCTCTCCCTCCCCAATTTACTCAAACAATACCGTTTGACAGAAGGGCCTTTGAGTTAAGGGTGGGGCACTTGTTGTGGTTTGTGCTTGTGTTATGGCAGCCATTTACAACTGAATACCTGAAATAACATCATAGTTGAAGGGCATTGTAGATTTCCTCTCTCCTGCAGACATGGTTTCATATTCAAATCTGGGCCTTTGACATGCCAAACAAGCCACAAAATATATCCCCTTATTATATTAGACCATAATGACCCACAGTACAATGGGTCAAAGAGATGAAAGTGTGCTCACAATTGCATGCTGCAGAAGTCATATTCAATAAAAACAAACAAATGAGTGCATTTATAATTATATTGATGCTTCACTTTCCCATGACTTACAATCACATCAGAGTGGCATATAATGAATTCATAAGTGGCATATACAGTGAGGGAAAAAAGTATTTGGTCCCCTGCTGATTTTGTACGTTTGCCCACTGACAAAGAAATGATCAGTCTATAATTTTAATGGTAGGTTTATTTGAACAGTGAGAGACAGAATAATAAATAAAAAAATGCAGAAAAACGCATGTCAAAAGTGTTATGAATTGATTTGCATTTTAATGAGGGAAATAAGTATTTGACCCCCTCTCAATCAGAAAGATTTCTGGCTCCCAGGAGTCTTTTATACAGGTAACGAGCTGAGATTAGGAGCACACTCTTAAAGGGAGTGCTCCTAATCTCAGCTTGTTACCTGTATAAAAGACACCTGTCCACAGAAGCAATCAATCAATTAATTAGATTCCAAACTCTCCACCATGGCCAAGACCAAAGAGCTCTCCAAGGATGTCAGGGACAAGATTGTAGACCTACACAAGGCTGGAATGGGCTACAAGACCATCGCCAAGCAGCTTGGTGAGAAGGTGACAACAGTTGGTGCGATTATTCGCAAATGGAAGAAACACAAAATAACTGTCAGTCTCCCTCGGCCTGGGGCTCCATGCAAGTCTCACCTCGTGGAGTTGCAATGATCATGAGAACGGTGAGGAATCAGCCCAGAACTACACAGGAGGATCTTGTCAATGATCTCAAGGCAGCTGGGACCATAGAAAACAATTGGTAACAAACTACGTCGTGAAGAACTGAAATCCTGCAGCGCCCGCAAGGACCCCCTGCTCAAGAAAGCACATATACAGGCCCGTCTGAAGTTTGCCAATGAACATCTGAATGATTCAGAGGAGAACTGGGTGAATGTGTTGTGGTCAGATGAGACCAAAATCGAGCTCTTTGGCATCAACTCAACTCGCAGTGTTTGGAGGAGGAGGAATGCTGCCTATGACCCCAAGAACACCATCCCCACCGTCAAACATGGAGGTGGAAACATTATGCTTTGGGGGTGTTTTTCTGCTAAGGGAACAGGACAACTTCACTGCATCTAAAGGACGATGGACAGGGCCATGTACCGTCAAATATTGGGTGAGAACCTCCTTCCCACAGCCAGGGCATTGAAAATGGGTCGTGGATGGGTATTCCAGCATGACAATGACCCAAAACACACGGCCAAGGCAACAAAGGAGTGGCTCAAGAAGAAGCACATTAAGGTCCTGGAGTAGCCTAGCCAGTCTCCAGACCTTAATCCCATAGAAAATCTGTGGAGGGAGCTGAAGGTTAGAGTTGCCAAACATCAGGCTCGAAACCATAACGACTTGGAGAAGATCTGCAAAGAGGAGTGGGACAAAATCCCTCCTGAGATGTGTGCAAACCTGGTGGCCAACTACAAGAAACGTCTGACCTCTGTGACTGCCAACAAGGGTTTTGCCACCAAGTCCTAAGTCATGTTTTGCAGAGGGGTCAAATACTTATTTCCCTCATTAAAATGCAAATAAATGTATAACATTTTTGACATGCGTTTTTCTGGATTTTTTTGTTGTTATTCTGTCTCTCACTGTTCAAATAAACCTACCATTAAAATTATAGACTGATCATGTCTTTGTCAGTGGGCAAACGTACAAAATCAGCAGGGGATCAAATACTTTTTCCCCTCACAGTCAATTTATTTGGACCAACATAACTAACCCCACTCATAGACCCCTAGCGTTAATCTGTGGCTGTTTGGAACTGTGTTTAAACTATGAAGTATAGGCTATAGGAGACCTATATGAGTTCTATATCAACTTCCACATATATGTTTCAGCATGACAATATAAAAGTGAATGATATTCTCATACTGACAAACTGAAATGGGAGAGAAGCCTACTACTACAACTCAAGAGGCTTCCCCTCCACGCAAGACACGCCTTGTCACCCAAATGTGGGTGGAGCTAGGCCTCCTCAACTATTTATTGGAATTCCAACAGATGGCTGAGAAACTTCAGAAGCGCTTGATTAGAGTGTCTTCCTGCACCAATACAGAACACACTCTACTGTGAATTGGGATAACCTGCCAGAGGCATCAGCACAATGCCATCCGACTTCCTAACACCGTTTTTGGAACTGGAGGATGAGTTCTGCAAGGTAAGAATACGTTTTGAAATGTTTATTAATACATTAGGCTATATAGGATATGTCTGAAAGTTATACTTTGGATTTTAAATGGTAAATAATACACTATCAAATTTAACTTTTTATCATTTTAACTTGGATTTGTATGTGCGCCTTTTTATCAGTTTTGCCTAAAAATAAAAGGGTTCAAACTTTCTGATTCACGTGCATAACGGTTTCCATCTCTCATTCATTCCTTGCCAAACCAAGCGCATTATAGTCAACTTTCGGGAACTTGATATGGGCTATTGTGTTTGCTTGCAGTTTACTGTTTATTTGGTTCAGCATATATTTACATTTTATTAGCTTAACCATGACTTGAATCCTCGGTCTTGGAATGTGACTTTATTCCTCTCTTGTGTGATAGAATTTCCGTGGTCTGGACATGCCATATGACGCACCAGCCACCACTCAGATGCAGCGCGTCGTGGGATTTCAGCGCAGACACTCACTATGCCCCGTTACCCTGCCCAACTCAAAGTTCAACAGCGGCAGCGTGGACCCAATCGGCGACCCAGCATACTGGGCCCTTACTAACACTGCTAACCAGCAGTGGAGCCTGAAACACCAGCAACAGTTGCCCCGTTCCTCTCTCAACCACATCCCATTCCGTGTGGACCGTTCGGTCAGCATGATAGAGGGCCATGTTGGCAGCCTCGGGTCCAGCGAGCAGCAGCTCCCCACCACCCCTCCTCTGATGCCCCCACCCGGCCTAAGTATCAGCACCAGCTCCCTGTCATCTCCAAAGTCCCTCGCCCCCTCCCCTCCCATCTCCACCCGGTACAAAACCGAAATGTGCCGCACTTACGAGGAGAGTGGCACCTGCAAATACGGAGCCAAGTGTCAGTTTGCCCACGGCATGGATGAGCAGCGTGGCTTGAGCAGGCACCCGAAGTACAAAACCGAGCCTTGCCGCACGTTCCACACTATTGGCTTCTGCCCCTATGGCGCGCGATGTCACTTTATCCATAACGCAGACGAGCAGCTCGGGCCGGATGGCGGAGCGCCACCTCAGCGACAAAATACAACAGAACGCCCACAGCTGCTGCGTCACAGCATCAGTTTCGCTGGCTTCTCCTCTCCTCAAGCGCTGACCGGATTCCAACTCGTTCCAGAACCCATGCTGTTCTCCAGGGCCTCCTCGGTATCATCCCCGCCCTCCACAGGTAGCCCAGAATTGCTGTCCCCATTGTTTCCAGAGCCTGCTACACTGAAGCACAACTATCCGTTCTCGTCTGACTTTGGAAACGACCAGATTAATAACAACCCTCACTTTTATACTATCACTGACTCTAAGTGCCAAACTGTCTGTGTGCAAAAGTCAGCTGTACAGAACTCTCACCGCAATGCCTTCTCATTCAGCCGCATCCCTGCCATGCAGCGTTGTGCTTCACCTGACTCTCTCTCTGACCAGGAAGGCTACACCAGCTCCAGTAGCCTGAGTGGTTGTGAGTCCCCTGGCCTTGAGGGCAGACGTCTCCCCATCTTTAGCCGTCTCTCTGTCACAGATGACTGAACTTTGACTGCATATTGTTTTTTATTTTATTATAAGGTACACGTATACTGTTGTATACCCGTTTTAGCTACTATGGGTGCCTCAACAAGCTTTACAGTATCCGTGATGTCTTTGCTGAGAGAGTTCTTTTGTGGAATTTTCTGTACCCATTTCGAAAAAAAAACATGCCAGTAATGATAATTTTGGGCTTGGTATAAGGACAAACCTATTGTGCACACATGTGCTTTTTACAACATCAATGGTTCTCCTTGTAGCCTTGCCCTTTAGTGTGTAACCAAAGCTGAATATAGTATATTGTCTTGTAGGCAGAGTAAATGTTGAAACTTATCCCAAAATGTAGCTAGGCCTACTGTAATTTTTTTAGTAAAGGCAACTAATTGACAGTATTATCAAGTAGTCTAACCATATGGCTTTTTGGAGATGTATTTATTTTGTATGTTTTGCAGAGTTTGTTTATGATTGTGTTATGCATTTGTATATGATGCAGAAGAATATGCTTTACTATTCGCTTTGTTTGAGCTATCATGTAGCTTTAGAACTTTGCATTGCTTGAGTGTAGACACTGCAAGGACCATGTCCACCACCATCTCGTTATGCCAGTGAAAACAATACTTGTGTTACAAGTTACCTTGTTCAATCAGTAAATATACGTGTTGCCCTCACCGGTCATAATAAGATGCTACAGAGAATGTGTTAGGTCTTTCATATGTTCTAACCCAACAAGTGCATTTCAGCATTTAGTTTGGGTTCAACATTTCAACATTCAAGTTCAAGTTTCAAAGCCCCTGAAACATTAGTCCATTTTTGCTTACTCAGTGAGACAGGATTCTCATACACCATTTTGTGACTGTTTATATCATATTATAAACATGATTTGTGGTGTTATGTGAGGTAATAACATAGGCAAACAATGTTGCCACAATGACAATGAATGAGTAATATGGGTTACATCAACATGTTGGTCTCTTGCACACTAGCTGTTATTACTACGTGTATTTTATCTTACAATGAACTTGTCTTTTGCGAGCCAAGAGTTTATTTTGTAGCTCATCTACAGCAAGAAAGGACTGTGATTGTCTTTACTTTTAGCCTTAACTGTGATGGAAAAACAAACAAGGCTTTGCATTTGTTAAATTAAAACTTATTTATTTTGTTTTTCAAAGCAAAAATGATAGTGTTGGTTATATATTATGTTGTTTTCTATATAATTTAAGTGTGTTGTTTACATTCCATGGGATATTAATCCCGGTTTCTATCTTAATATATTTTTACCTGTTCGGTTCAAAATAAAACTCTTTTGGAAATCACTATCTCACTGACTTGTTTTACTTAGAGGCACACTGCTCTTCATACAATTACTGTTATGCAATAAAGTGATATTATTACTCATCTTAGAAAAAGTGACATTAACAGACAATAACAAGTTTTATAATTATGTATGCTTTCTAAGAGGAAAAAGAGTAGGATAAAATGTTTATAATGGAGATTGAACAAGAATGACTCTCTGCACAACATGAGAACATGATACAAAAATGATATTTTATTTGAACACACACAAAGACAGAAGGGAACAGAAGTTGGGTTTTATGTGTGTATTGTTTGGCTTTGTTCTGGCATTCTGGTGCTAGCAGACTAAGAACATCCCACTGCTGAATAATCCCAGACAATAGCGATTGGCCATTCTATTGAAAAGTTGGGGTGGAGGGGGTTATTGCAAGACATGAAAAGGCATGGGGCTCTCCTCGTGGTGCAGCCCTTTTGTGAGACTGCTCTCTCTTTCTTACTAACATCTGTATGCTAATGCTAGCCCATGGAAATGGGCTGAAGCAGGGGAGGGCGATTTGCAAGTCCATTGAGGAGTCATAGGTCCAGGGAGCAGATTTATTGGGGACTACGAGAAGGGGGAGGGGGTGTAGAGGCTTTCAGTTGAATGTCCCAACTGTTTACCAAGAGGAGAAGGAGAAGGAGGTGTAGCAGAGAGGGGTGTGTGCGTTTGTCTGAGAGTTATAAGCAAAGATCATTCAGGCAATACTTGAGACATCCAAGAGACGGACTGAAAAAACACAGCAACATTTCCCAACTGTAATCCATAAGAGGATTCTAATGCACTGCTTTCAACAATACACCTTGTGATTATAAATACAGTATATAGACCTATCCATACATGTATTCACATTCTTTGATAACCTTTTGACCTACTTGCATATGGATAACTATGGAAGTGATGTAGTTACAAATTGTTTTGGTAGTGATGTTGTTTAGTATACAGTGCATTCGGAAAGTATTCAGACCCCTTGACTTTTTCCACATAAAATTGATTAAATCGTTTTTTTCCCTCATCAATCTACACACAATACCCCATAATGACAAAGCATAAACATGTTTTTAGAAATGTTAGCTAATTTAAAAAAATATGTAAACACTGAAATAACAATTTACATAAGTATTCAGACCCTTTACTCAGTACTTTGTTGAAGCACCTTTGGCAGAGATTACAGCCTCAAGTATTTTGAGATTACAGCCTCAAGTATTTTTGGGTATGACGCTACAAGCTTGGCCCACCTGTATTTGAGGAGTTTCTCCCATTCTTCTCTGCAGATCCTCTCAAGCTCTGTCAGGTTGGATGGGGAGCGTCGCTGCACAGCTATTTTCAGGTCTCCAGAGATGTTCGATCGTGTTCAAGTCCGGGCTCTGGCTGGGCCACTCAAGGACATTCAGAGACTTGTCCCAAAGCCACTCCTGCGTTGTCTTGGCTGTGTGCTTAGGGTCGTTGTCCTGTTGGAAGGTGAACCTTTGCCCCAGTCTGGTCCTGAGCGCTCTGGAGCAGGTTTTCATCACGGATCTCTCTGTACTTTGCTCCGTTCATCTTTGCCTCGATCCTGACTAGTCTCCCAGTCCCTGCCACTGAAAAACATTCCCACAGCATGATGCTGCCACAACCATGCTTCACCGTAGGGATGGTGTCAGGTTTCCTCCAGATGTGACACTTGGCATTCAGGTGTGTGCCTTTCCAAATCATGTCCAATCAATTGAATTTACCACAGCTGGACTCCAATGAAGTTGTAGAAACATCTCCAGGATGATCAATGGAAACAGGATGCACCTGAGCTCAATTTCGAGTCTCATAGCAAAGGGTCTGAATACTAATGTAAATAAGGTATTTCTGTTTTTGCTTTGTCATTATGTGTGTAGATTGCAAAAAATGAATTTAAAAAAATCAATTTTAGAATAAGGCTTTAACGTAACAAAATGTGGAAAAGGTCAAGGGGTCTGAATACTTTCCGAAGGCACTCTATATGAGGCTTATGTTGAAGTGCAATTTACTTGTACTACAATCCCCTGGTTTATTAAAGAGGTGCTTCCCTCTAGTGGCGAAGAGAAAAAAGCATTTACCTTTGGTAATAAGTAAGATTTCCACTGTATGCAATGTTTAGGGATTCTTCACTGATGATTTAAACTGACATTGATACGTTTGTTCAAGTCATAATTCTAACATATTAAGGCTCTCTATTCATCATTGTGGTCCATTCAAGTGGTCCTCTGTAGCTCAACTGGTAGAGCACGGCGCTTGTAACGCCAAGGTAGTGGGTTCAATCCCCGGGACCACCCATACACAAAAATGTATGCACGCATGACTGTAAGTCGCTTTGGATAAAAGCGTCTGCTAAATGGCATATTATATTATTATCATTCGAGGGGCCCCCTTGACTAAATATTATTTAGAATTGTACAATTAGGGCTAAAAACCTCAAAAGCCGCTGGTGTCAAATGCATTAATGTTTCAATGGTCGTCGTCAATCGTCATATAAGTGGTACCCGGATTATCGAGCGCAGTGATTGATATGAGCCAATGTGCAACGAGTAGGTAAAGTCAGAAGCATGGAGAAATAAACAGGCCTAGGCTACACCAGTAAAAATAATAATCACATAAAATATAGTCGTTGCATAAGTATTCACCCCAATTGTTTAGGCAAGCCTAAATTAGTTCAGAAGTAAAATTTGGCTTAACAAATCAAATAGTAAGTTATATGGACTCACTCTGTGTGAAATAATTGGGGTTGACATGATTTTTGAATGACTACCCCTTCCTCTGTCCCCCATACATTCAACATCTGCAAGATCCCAGTCAAGTATTGATTTTCAAGCACAGATTCAACTACAAAGACCATATATGTTTTTCTGTTAAAATCCAAAATTCTAATCAGGTCCCTACACAGGCTCAGAAGGATCCTGTGAGGGCAGAACATTTTCTGGTGACAGTAGTCCTTGCAGTGCTTCTGCATTGAAGTCTTGGGAGCCCCAAAAATGTCTCGCTGCAGATATAATGAGGTCCAGCTTATTGGACTTCTTAGACACTTGTTTAGTACAATTAATAACTGTGGCTATAAACGCTACAAAATCCACCTTCACAATGAGTGTATACAGATCACTTGATTGACTTAAAACATTTGCAACTGGTTGAGGTGCATCCACCGCCATATCTTCTTCAGCACTGTGGCCTCTTGCCCCTTCGACTCTCTTCACTGCCTCCACATAGGAAATCTGCTGTACAGCCCTGATCCTTGACACCTCAACATCTTTCACCCTAACAAGGTACTCAAAAATGTCAGGGGTATGATCCTTACCACATATACAACCTTTTCCATTCACATATTCTTCAATAACATACTTCTCCAGTCTGCAAACATTTGACACATGGCCTATCGTTCGCAATTCCCACACTGTAGTGGTTTGGACCCAAATGCTCTCACCCCATACTTCACATATCCAAGCTTCACATGTGCAGGTAGAGCCTCCTCAAAGAACAAGAGTATCGAAAGGCTTTTCTCTTTCTTTCCATTTACCATACAGGTCAGGCAACGTGCCCTGACCACTCCTGGGATTTTCTGAATAAGGTACTCGACATCTAGATCTAACGACACTTCATATATAATACATGTTACTTCCGACGTGGGCAATTTAGCCAGATCCAGTGCACACTTCTTCTGTTCTTTGTCTAC